CCACTTGAGCCACAGGGCCACTTCCGGCTTTTTTTCTTATGTGGTGCTGAGGAATCGAACCCAGGGTCTCAGGCATGCAAGGCAAGCGCTCTACCACTGAGCCACCTTCCCAGCCCGAGCTTTTCTTTTTCTTTGTGCCAGTAATGGGGTTTGAACTAAGAACCTGGGCACTGTCCCTTAGCATTTTCCCTCAAAGCTGGTGCTCTATGACTTGGGCCACACCTCCACTTCCAGGTTTTTTTTTTTTCCATTTTCTTTTTTGCCAGTGCTGTGGCTTGAGCTCAGGGCCACGTGGTCCTGAGCTCCTTTTGCTCAAGGCTAGCACTCTTCAACACAGACTTTCTTGCGTGGGCTGGATTTGAATCGGGATCTTCAGATACTCAGCCTCTGGGGTAACTAGGATTACAGGATGCCACTGGTACTTGGCTAATACTCAAAAATTTTTGAAGTGGGGGCTGGGAAGGTGGCTCAGTGGTAGAGCACTTGCCTTGCATGCCTGAGGCCGTGGGTTCGATTCCTCAGCACCACATAAGCAAAAAGAAAAAAGCAAGAAGTGGTTCTGTGGCTCAAGTGGTAGAGTGCTAGCCTTGAGCTGAAGAGCTGAGGAACAGCGCCCAGGCCCAGAGTTCAGGCCCCATGACCGGACCCAAAAAAGAAAAGATGACAAAAACACAGATGGAACTCATGCTAAAATAGAATTATTCAAACAATGGGGCACTACCTAGGTCTAGAAACATTGTTTAAAGGAAATAGAAAATAATTGGTTCAGTAAGGGGAAAAACCCAGAAGATGGCCCTAATCTGGAAGGAAGAAAGCTAGACTAGCTAGATTTGGGTGGCAGAGCTGGTGGATAGTGATCCTAGGATTGCAAAATTTGTGAGGGTACTAGGCTGTGGTCTTGAATGGATGGGTAGGATCTACAAGAGAAAGTAACTAAAGCTCAGAGTCAGGATCCTCAAGAAGTCACTAAATAACTGTTAGCCTGTCACTGGTGGCTCACACCTGTAATCTGAGCTACTCAGGAGTCTGAGATCTGAGGATCACCATTCAAAGCCAGCCCAGGCAAGAAAGTCAGTGAGATCTTATCTCCAATTAACCACCAGACAACAGGAAGTGGTGCTGTGGCTCAAGTGGTAGAGTACTTGCCTTGAGCTGAAGAATGAGAGACAATGTCCAGGCCCCAAGTCCAAGACCCACAACTGACCAAAACAAAACAAAAAAAAATAACAACTGTGTTTAAAGGTTTGAGACTGGCAACTTGTCACTAAAATGGGCAGAGCTTGGGTTCAGCAGGGCTAGGACTGGTAGTCAAGAATTGTGTATTAGGGCTGGGAAGGTGGCTCAGTGGTAGAGCGCTTGCCTTGCATGCATGAGGCCCTGGGTTCGATTCTTCAGCACTACATAAGCAAAAAGAAGAAAGCCGGAAGTGGCGCTGTGGCTCAAGTGGTAGAATGCTAGCCTTGAGCTGAAGAGTTGAGGGACAGCGCCCAGGCCCAGAGTTCAGGCCCCACGACCGGACCCAAAAAAAAAAAAAATTGTTAGCCAGGTGCTGATGGCTCCATGTCTGTCATCCTAACTACACAGAAGGCTGAGATCTGAGGATCATGGTTGGAAGCCAGCCTTGGCAGGAAAGTTCATTAGACTCTTATCTCCAATTAACCACCAGAGAACCAGAAGTGAAGGTGTGACTCGAATGGCAGAGCACTAGCCTTGAGCAAAAGAGCAAAAGAGCAAAAAGTTATGGAGAACAGATCCTAGAGCCAATGTAACCACAGTACTGTTTACTTTTCCCAAATAGACGCCAACTCCTTGAGCCACACCTCCAGGCTACACTGCTTCATTTTTCTGTGACTCAGTTTCCTCTTCTGTAAACCATTAATGTTGACGTATAATAGAGTGTGCCACAATCGTTTGTTGCTATCAATTACATTTCTGTTTCCCAGCCCCCCCGACCTAGGTCCTAAACTCTTCTTTGAAGATGTGGAAAAGCAACATCTAAGAACGCAATTCCTGCGAGTGACCCGACTTGAGTTCAGGTCAAAGGACAGGAAGGAGATTTAGTTGGTTTTAAAATCTCACAGCGGAGAGATTAAGTGAAGGGCGGGGTAGATGCCAAGGGTGGAGGCTTCCGGATCCCTGGACGGAAGGATGGCGGCCCTGGCCCGTCTGCTGGAGCGTCTCCTCTGGAGGACTCCGAAGGAAGAGGGGGCGGAGAAGGAAGACGAGGAGGCTCAGGAGGAGGAGGAGGTGGCGGGGGGCCGGGCCCCCGATTGGCCTCAGCCTCGTCCCGCCGTGCCGCGATGCTCCCAGCGGCCACACGGGGGTGCGGCGCCGTCGTGGGGCCTGCGCTTCGGGGCGAGCGCGGCGCAGGGCTGGCGCGCGCGCATGGAGGACGCGCACTGCGCCTGGCTCTCCATCCCCGGGTTGCCCCCGGGCTGGGCTTTCTTCGCGGTCCTCGACGGCCACGGCGGGACTCGAGCAGCCCGCTTCGGCGCTCGACACTTGCCGGGCCACGTGTTCCGAGAGCTGGGCTCGGCTCCCCGGGAGCCCGAGGGTGTGCGGGAGGCGCTGCGCAGAGCCTTCCTGAGCGCGGACGAGCGCCTGCGCGAGCTCTGGCCCCGGGGGGACCCCGGAGGCTCCACGGCGCTGGCCTTGCTGGTCTCCCCGCGATTTCTCTACCTGGCGCACTGCGGCGATTCCCGAGCCGTGCTGAGCCGCGCCGGCACCGTGGCTTTCAGCACCGAGGACCATCGTCCCTTCCGGCCCCGGGAACGCGAGCGCATCTACGACGCGGGTGGCACCATCCGCCGCCGGCGCGTCGAGGGCTCTCTGGCCGTGTCGCGAGCACTGGGCGATTTTGCCTACAAAGAAGCGCCGGGGAGGCCCCCCGAGCTGCAGCTGGTTTCTGCAGAGCCCGAGGTGTCTGCACTGGCACGCCGCGCCGAGGATGAGTTCGTGCTCTTGGCCTCCGACGGCGTGTGGGACGCGATGTCCGGGGCTGCCCTGGCGGGGCTGGTGAGCTCGCGCCTCCGCCTGGGCCTGGCCCCGGAGCTGCTCTGCGCGCAGCTCCTGGACACGTGCCTGTGCAAGGTCCTGGACGGAGGCGGGACGCGGGGTTGCACGTGTAGAAGGAAAGGGAGACGGGGATTGGATGGACAGACGGAAGGGGGTGGGGCTGGGTGGGCGTGGCTTCGGGGAGGGGCGTGGCCAGCATGGGGCGAGGGCTAGACTCCAGCACAAAAGTTAAGGTCTTGAATTCAAGTTGCATGTGTTCCCTTCCAGTATCAACACATTTGAAAGCCAGAAAACAGCCAGGCTCCAGTGGCTCATTACTCCGGAGGCTGTGAGCTAGGGATTGCTTTACGAAGCCAACCCTGGCAAAGAAAGCCTGTGAGGCTCTTATCTCCAATTAACCACCCAAAAGCTGGAAAGGGAAGTGTAACTCAAGTGCTAGAGCACCAGCCTTAAACA